CTCTCGCGGCCTTAGCGGCTGCCAAAGAGGAGGACAAGAAGATCGATGGCCCCGTGATCGGAATTGACTTAGGAACCAGGCCGCACTAGTCCATAACTTCAAGTGACGCTTGCCTTGTTCCGTTTGGTCCTGTCCGTGTCTTGCACGCACAGCAAGTGCTCGATGGGGATGTGCTGGGGTAAGCTGAGGCACCACGTACTCTTGCGTGGGCATCTACAAGAACGGACGAGTCGAGATTATTCCAAATGACCAGGGCAACCGTATCACGCCCTCTTATGTGGCCTTTACCGATGACGAACGTTTGATTGGAGAGGCGGCAAAGAACCAGGCCACCATCAATCCCACTCAGACGCTCTTCGATGTGAAGCGCCTCATCGGTCGTCGGTTCAAGGATTCCACTGTGCAGAAGGACATTAAGCTCCTGCCATACAAGATTGTGGACAAGAGCAGCAAGCCGATGATCGCTGTCAAGGTCAAGGGCGAGGAGAAGGTCATGGCTCCAGAGGAGGTGTCCTCCATGGTGCTGACCAAGATGAAGGCCAGAGATACATAAGAGCCTCGAGCGTGCCAACCGCATTCTTTAACATGGTCTGCCGGCTTGCGTCAGCATTATTGAATCATAACTTGTCTTCCAGTGGCTTGCATAGTCTTGCTCGCGATAAGCTACGCCAGCTAAGCTACAGCCTTGAGGCTTGCAAGACAAGTGTAGAAAGACTTGCGTGAAAGCGCATGTTGAAGGAGACAGCGGAGAACTACTTGGGCAAAGAGGTCAAGCACGCCGTGGTCACCGTGCCTGCTTACTTCAACGATGCGCAGCGCCAGTCCACAAAGGATGCGGGCACCATTGCTGGCCTGAATGTGCTGCGTATCATTAACGAGCCCACGGCGGCTGCCATTGCGTATGGCCTGGACAAGAAGACGGAGAAAAACATTCTTGTCTATGACCTCGGCGGTGGTACCTTTGATGTCTCCCTCCTGACCATTGACAATGGCGTTTTCGAGGTGGTGGCCACCAACGGCGACACTCACTTGGGCGGAGAGGACTTCGATCAGCGTGTGATGCAGCACTTCATGAAGATCTTCGAGAAGAAGCACGGCAAGGACATGTCCAAGGACAAGCGATCCATCCAGAAGCTGCGCCGAGAAGTGGAGAAGACCAAGCGAGCGCTTAGCTCCACCCACCAGGCGCGCCTGGAGATTGAGGCCCTCTACGATGGAGTGGATTTCTCTGAGACGCTGACGCGTGCACGATTCGAGGACACCCCTGATATCCCCAGCAAGCGTAATGCCATGCTTGGCTTGTTTCTGCTTCTAGCTGATTCTAGCTCCAGGCGTGGCTTGCTGCCATGCACATGTATGCACATGTCACAGGAGCTGAATGCTGACCTGTTCAAGAACACCCTCGGCCCGGTCAAGCAGGTGCTGGACGACTCCGGCCTCAAGAAGAACCAGGTTGATGAGATTGTTCTGGTGGGTGGTTCTACCCGAATCCCCAAGGTGCAGCAGCTGATCAAGGACGTCGGCACAGCCCTGATGCCAGTCGATGTGCATTGCCTTGCAGCTTTCTCAAGTGTTGTGTGGTTGCGTGAATGCTTTAAAGCAGTGA